ACCAATTCTTATCAACAACTATTAATAATTAATAACATTATCGACAGTATAAATACGTATAATTTATAGAATCTACATATTAATCAAAATATAATATATTGAATCATGATGTATATAAGGTATTACTTACAATAAAAAACAAAAAAAAATAAGTTATAACATTATTATGTATAACGGAAATTGAGAGCGAGACATTTTATCTTAATAAAAATAGTTTTTTATGTGTAGGTACCTAAAGTAATTGCATGTGAAATACTYGTAAAAAATTTAGATTCATGAGATTATACTTAAGAATCTAACGTAGATATGGATAAAGATAATAATAAACTATATAACGTAATATATATATATATATATATTAAAAATAGAATAATATGTGTACATAACATGAAATAACCTGCAATTTATTTTTATGCTTTTTTTTATCATTGAAACAATTTTTTGTTATTATTAAACAACAATTCTCACATTAATATYGGAATACAAATTTTATATTTATTCTTAATATCTCAAATTAAGTTTAAAAAAACTTTTATCGCGTTTAATAATAATATATAATTACCTATTTTATACTAAAATATTCAAAAATAATAGATTAATATGCTTCATAACATAATTATTTGAGAATATTGTGATTTTACCTTCTTTTCCTTTTTACAAAATTAAGTAATTTTTACTGTATTAAAAAAAATAATAAACAAACCACTGAAAAATTTCAGAAAATAATTTTTATATATTTTTCAATATTTTAAATATACCTAGTACACTTGTATACAATTTTTAAAAAGTGTAAATACATATATTTGTGTACGATCTGTTGACAATTTACGTGAATCCTTAAATTCATGTTTACTTAGAGTTTAATGCATTGTACAAATCCAAAAAATTCTAAATATGAAATACAAATATTTGTAAGTAAGTTGTATTCATTCAAAGTTAAAATAATGTTATAGGTTATGATATACAGTTTTATGTAACTGTAATAAATGTGTGTTTAATAATTAAATAATGCTAGTAGACCAAAAAAAATCGATTTCAATAATGTTAAAGAGAATATTATAAAATTTCTATTATGTTCTTATATTGCAGTACGTCTGTATTTATTTTAGACGACTTATTTTTATATTTTTTTTTTATACATATTTTAACTTTATACAACAATCTTTTTCACGTAAACACAAATCAAAGAGTTCTCCAAACGTAAACTAGATAAACATGTTTTATTTCTCCTATAAATTCTTATTCTTAAACAACGACATTTGTGTTTTAAGTGTTTTGATCCATATTTTTTTTATTTGAGATTTTTACTAGTACTATACTACTATCTAATGTTCTGAATTCTTAAACGGATTATTGTCTTACAATCACAGTAAAAATTCTAAGTGTGTGTTATTTATGCAACTACCCACTACTACTACTATACTATGATGGTACATTGGTACTACATGTACTTATTAAATAAAAAAATCTTTTATTAACTATATCCTAAGATAATTCGCATAAATAACATCTACAAAAGTTTTCTAAATTCTTTTTAAATATAATATTTCCTTGTTAAAATTTCTACTGTTGAAATTTTTTTCATGTATTTACAAGAAGAGCTCAACTGAAATAGTTGAAAATCAGGACGGACAGTAAATTCTGCGTTTCAAATTAGGTGATAAAAAACTTTTCAAGAAAGTACCTAGTTTCCATTTGAAATTTAACCTGTTATCTTTTATACATTTAAGTGACAATTATTTTACYATTTTATATTTAATTACATTAACCTAAGCATTACACCTAATTAATTTACGGATGACTTTATGTATCTWTATTATTCTATTATACTAAATTAATTAGAAATGTTCGTTATACAAACAATTGTTTCCAAAATAATATAAATATTAACCGCATCCAGTATAATCCTGCAATCACGGACTATATTAAATATCTTGTACTATATTTTCATATTGTCTGTGGTATAGTTATTTATTTACTTCTACTACCTTGATATCAATAGAATGAGTTATAACTGTGTTAGTTGTTATTTACATTATATTCCCCGTGCGTGATATTATCAGATRATTCTCGGTAAAAAAAAATCGAAAACAACCTATGTAATATAGTGAGTMTATCACAACATAGGAAAAAATAAACTACTCACTTARCAGACRGAAAGAACTTATGAATTAATGAATAATATATTGATCATATTATAATAGTCATAAATATGCATTATAGGTAATTCATAATATCGAAATCGAAATCAAATTATTTTCTAAATAGAAGATTAGTATAATTATAATTTTTGGGATTACATAATCGAATAAAGTGGTTAAATCTTTGTCCTATCGGTATGATGACTGTTTTAAACCAATAAATCATGATGCCATCCATCACTGGTTTCGATATTGTGTCCAGGTGTGCGTTTGGACCGACTGGGTCATGCGGTGGGACGTTGGCTGGTAAAATTATACCGAAAACGAACAGGATTTTATACTCGACGTTCATGTTCTCTGGCACAATGTTCGGCGGCTTCTTCGGGCACTTGTACAGCGGACTTGTCATACCTAACGTTTCGCACAACGGCAGCTAYTTGGCACTGTCCGTCGTCGGATTCCTTTGGGTCGCMGTGTGGGCTACCATGATACATCTGACACCATACGACAGCGACTTAAACAGCATCCCCATGTCCGTGTCATTTATCTCGACAACATGGACCGTGATCATGCGATCTATGCCATTTGTCAGTCTGCTTAACGCATCTTTCGGGTAAGGAAGACAGCACGTTTTTATTTTTACTTTGATATTATAGGATTATAATTACAATAATATTACGATTTTCAAAAGATAATTTATTCTAATCAGAAAATCGCCTATTGGAGATCGCCTATTGGAGATTGCATAAGTCAGATACTCGGATAGAATGAGTTAAAACACCTAGTTTTAATCTCCCTTCATATTTGTTTGCTGTTCTGTAATTATGCACCGTATAATATAATAATCTATGTATCTTTATAGAATGCATATCCTACCAAAAGCTGTAAACATTTTTTCCGACAGATATTAATTTATCCAACACTTAATATTTTACTCTTACTTCAACATAAATGAAGTTGGGCACGATTAGTTAACACCGTACATATTAAATATATTGGTTGAAACGGGAATCAAAATTTTTTTTAAATTGGTGAATTAAAGATACCGTGAAAACGGTGTTTGCCCGAATCCTTCTGAGTCTGAGTTATTTTTGTGTTATGCGCATTTAAAACAACAACGTAATCTATTATAGACACGATAGGTACTAMGTAGTTATAGTAGGTACGCAAATAATATTACACTGTTGAAAAAATAATAATTATCACTATAATAATATGTTATCACATGTTTTTAAATTATTTTATTATCTAGTTATTCATACACTTCTATTTCTTTAGATTTGGATTTTTATACAGTTTCATTACTACCGGGATACCGATTTATACTGCGAATGTTCTGGGTGGCAATGCTGTTAAAAACGGAATACCAGTATCTATGACATGGTTAATCGGTTGGATGACGTCTATAATCGCAGGAATCTCAGCTGCTTCGTTGACGAACGTTAACACAATTACTAAGACAACAATCAGGAAGATGTACGTAGGAATTGTTTTAATCGGATCACCGATAATGCTTTTTGGCGTCATGGTCGCTGGATGTCAAGAGTCATATGTGAAAACGTTCACGAAAATGTCTGTGATATTATTGGGATTCGAAAGAAGCAGTATTCGAATAAATTCCATGGACTTATGTCCTGGTAAGTAAGATAACATGAATTCATTGAATTGACATATACACATACCGTAATATTCGTATTATTCTAAAGAGTTTAACAGTCTACTATGATTGATGTATTATAGGTACAGAGTAATAAATTTATAAAGCATATTTACAAAAGCCTCTTTTATTCAATAATGCGGTTATTCAAAATCTGATTTTTAAAGTTMAATTGCTCAAAAAATACTAGTCTGAATTTGTATTCTAATACGTCAACATGTTCAGAAAAACAATCTTCTTAATAATTTACAGTAGTTAAAGGGGGGGGGGGGTTGTCATTTTAAAAAAAATAAAAAATAATTTTATGTTCACAGAACACTCCTTAGGTAATGCAAAAAAATCACAAGAACTTGAAGGTATAGTATTCAAGTGTAATATTTAAAATTTTTAAAAATCAGATTTTTAATAATATTACATTATTGAAGAAAAAGTGGTGAGCCACGATTATGCTTTGGCAATCATCTTGTATGAAATATTGTATTATAACAACTACAAAGTTTAATTTTTTGTCTTTTCGTGAAAAATTATCCAACTAAGATTAATTTTAACATTTTACAAGTCGTATATACATATTACATACTAAATTAAAAACCACAATTTTATTTTTAAATATTATTTTTAAAACTCTATATAAGTACTTATCTATATAATATTTATATATTTTTTCTTCGATTTTCATTTAAAATAAATATACTATGATACAAGTTCGTAATAGTTAAATCATTAAGTAAGTAAAAATTGTAAAATACATTTTAAACTCACAGAAATCCTCCAGAGAATACCTATAATCACGAAGCGTTATTATTTTCCAGGATTCTGATAGGTCTTTATTTCTTGCTCTGCTTTACACACGTATGTGTGTGTACAAATAAAATTACACTTTATAATCATTAAACACTTTTAAGGTAAATTTCAAAAAATGTATTATTATTAAATTTCAGGTTATGTGGGAAGTCTAATAGCAATGTGTGATGTTTTTTACTCTATGGGAAATCTAATTGATTTAGTGGTGGTTCGAAGTTTATTTTCAGACACCATGAACTGGAGCGTAACATTCCAGGTGACTATCATTTTGTCAATTTCTTGCAGCATACTATTTCTATTATTCGGTTCCTCACTACAACAATGCTGGGATCAAAGATACATACGTCCGTAAACGCAAGATATTCATGCGTGTGATGTTTAAGACGACATCCCAATAGAATATAAAAAAAATCTTCAAGTACCTACAAATAAATTAATAAAATATATTTTTACTCAAAAAATATTTTCTATTGAATTTGTAACATTTTTAATATTTATTTTGTAATTTTAAGTAGTAACTACAAGTATTGTGTTCTAAATATTAAACTACTTGTAAAATTACTAAACCTCTATTAGAACTTAAACCGACCCATGCGCACTACCTATTTTGAGACTTCATGATTATAATATGCAATATTATAGATAGGTGTGCATAAAATTTTTATGTTATCTTACGATTGAATTAAATCTGTTGTAAGAAATAACTTCATCATAAAAATCTGGTGCTGAACATATCTGTTTRCTTACAGCGTTACAGCTTAATACACATTAATAATATATGCTACTCGGAACAATTTTTAAGGAACTTTTGTAAACATTGGGTGACTGCCAAAACGATGGAAGTTGGAATTATCGGGAAAAAACACGTTGCTAGTAATGAAAAATAAAACTTTAATATCATTATATATCTAGCCGCAAATGTATTGGAACATTTCCAGGATAGGCGCCCAATTATTCTTTTGATTTTTGGCAATCCACCTCTATCGAATAACAGTTATTCAGATTTCTGCAGGTAGTTTTCACAATGATATAAAACCCCTAAATCAAGTTATTTCACATAAGAACATTACCTATARCATATATCGTGTCTAGGTACAAGGTATTTCTATAGGTATTATAAAATATCTAAATTCTATTTCGTGTCAACATATTTTTTTTTTTTTATTAAAGAAATAACTCTCGGCAACTTGGCCATTGGGATAAGATACATTTTTTTTTTAGAAAGGTGTTACATAATAATAAAGGAAAAGTTTAATAACAATAACCATAAATGCTTAAATTATGTGAGAATAATAATAATAAGGTTGTGTTTTATTTTTTTTAAATGATTAAATAAATTTGTCCAATCCTGTCTTCTGGAGAAACACGAATATGTCTGGTATTGCAGAAATTGTCCTAGTATATCGTATAAATCGCTAGATATATTATTGCGATTTCWGGCGTCAAGGATGCAAGACATTCCGTAAGAATATGTTTAATTGTAAGTTCGACCCCGTAAGGTTATTAARTTTAGTTCTTTGTAGAAACGTTATGACGTTGCTGCAATTTTCAAGACTTAGACCAAGTGCTTCATAAAGGTGATCTGGTATATTTAGAGATGTTTTGTCAACATTATTAAAAGCTTAATTGCTTATACAACTCCAAATATCATTATATTATAATTATTTAAAAATGTATAACTTAACGCCAGTAAATAGACAATGTTCTATGACTCCATGATTATAGTATCCATGGCCGTGTATGTTAACATAACCTAAACATTCCCATTCAATGTGTGATAATATTTTGGTATTCTTCATTAAAGATGATGGAACAAATCGTTAAAATAAGGTATCCATCGACCCGTAAAATCACAGACTATTTRCTTGAATAATTTTTAACGAAATTGGTTGAATGATGTTTCAGTTATAAGCAAAAAATTGTGGATATTTTAGTGGTCATTTTATATTGCTTTTGCCGACGTATGCCCGTATGTTCGCGTCATGGTGACGGGAACGGGTGACAGAGATTCTTGCGACGGCGACGTACGTAACGCTACTTCTCCCACTACTATTACTTTCACCAACACTAGGCACATATAACACACTAAGACATAGTTTGCATAGTCCTATCAAAAACATATGGACTGCCGTCCTACCCGTCCTACCCGTCCGTCGTCGTTGAATTATTATGATTAATATATAATAATTATTTTAATACATATAATTAATCTAAAATAATCTAGTCTTAAATAAAGTTTGTAAAAAAATTTTAATTTAATCCGTCGTTAGATGCACGGTATACAATTACCTCAGATATATTAATACAGTATATTAAATATGATAATTTATAAAAAAACTAATGATATGCCAGCAAAAACACTCCGTCAACTCCATATAAAAAATGTTAAGTGAAAAAAACTTAAAGATAAATGATATAAAATGTATTATGCTAGGTTAAATCTAAGTAAATGGTCTAATGTGTAAAATGTTTGTATAAATAATAAATCCAAATTTAATGAAAATTGGTAATTTACATTTATTTATTATATGAATTATTTTAACTATTAAATTAATCCACATTTAGTTTACTTGGATAAAAGATTCAGTCTTAAAATGTTTAGCCAAGTACTAAGTACTCGTATCATATAAAAAATAATACACAAAACTTCTTAAAATAAATAAATTCGTTTTCAGCTAAGTAAACTAAAATTTGATTAATTTTATAGTTAAAATAATTCATATGATCAAAAAAATTAAATTACCATTTTTTGTTAAATTTGGATTAATTATTTATATGTACATTTTATACACATTAGACCATTTACTTAGATTCCATACCATATCATACTTTTTATAGCATTTATCATTAAGTTTTTTTTACACGGAGTTGACAGAGTGTTCTTGTTGAAATTATACATAGATATATTTGAATGAGAGGTATATATCTGTGTCTTAGAGTCTCCTTAATTTGTATTACCACTTACGTGTAATTAATTCTTAAATGTRTAATATGTAAAATAATAAACTTTACAATTTAAGTATAATGTCGTTATCTTTTGACACGTACATTATTTATAACAACAGTAATACCTACTAAATTGAGTGTGTATTTTATAATAAAAACTAATAGAACAGATAATCTTATATTAATTTGATAAATTATATTTTATACGGGAAATCTGCTTAAATATTTATGACAAAAATAATTTGTTAATGATGTTGTTTGACTTTAATCAGTTTAATCGTATGATAAAAACTAAACAAAAATATGCTTAAATACACCTGAGAATCATTTATTAACATTTAAAAATAAAATACAAGTCATTTACAAGCTTAAATATATAAATTTTCTTTTCTAGTACGGGTATATATCACCAATGCTTGCATTATCTTGGTGAGAAACAAAATAATATATTTTTTCGTGAAATGGAAAAAAGCCAAATACGTTTTACATCTTAAACTCAACCTTACATGATTCTTCTCTATATTTTATATGACTATTCTAAAATATTAAAAGTATAACTATAATAACAACACACAAATCTTTTACTTTTAGACAGTAATATATTATAATATAGAGAAGACATAATTTGTTATTATTTAAATATTACTATCATCAAAACATGTAGCAACAGAACATATTATTTTGTTTTAGTTTTTAGAAGCGATATTCAATGAGCGTCGAAATAATACCGATATTATGGCAGTAAATACTAAATGTTCGTTGTGTTGCATAATTAAATACATTATTAGGCGTTATAAAGAACATGTAGAGAATGTTAAGAATTTTTATTAGATCTACTTTTTAAGAAAATGTACTTGTTTTAAATTTATGAATTATGGCATTTAACATTAACATTTAGTTTCTTATGCTTTTTTTTTCCTATTAAAAAACGAAATTCCCTTGGTAATAAGATATTACGACAACTTAATAACAAATATATTTACATTATTAAGATATATTTTATCAAAACTAAACTTAAACTACCCCAAATAGGTCATCAATCATCATTATTTATACCTATGAAAAATAAAAATCAACGAAAAAATAACCATTTAATTTTATACATAAATATTTCTTGTCGTAATTATAAATGAATTTATTGACTACWRYAATTACGTAATATATCAATTACTTTAACAGGAGAAATAAGAATCTTGATATAAATATAATATAGGTAYTGATTTAATCTTAAAATAGATACCTAAAATATCTTACGATACATATTTTATAAAGGTTAATAACATATTATTTTAAATTTTATAACTTTTATATATTTATTAATATGTAAACATTTATTTTTTAATGTTTGTTAAAACTTAAAATTTACATGGATCTTGTTTTAAAGTGTATTAATGTTATAGTGCTTCTTAAGAAATTCATGCTAGATAGTACAACAATACAATACTACAGTATAAAATTCATAAAACTTACAATTATTAAACTACAGAATGGCATTCGATTAAAATCACTTTATTACTACAACTTACTTCTAAACAATGAACCCGTTTGGATTAGATTTTTTCATAATATGTATTTGAATTTTCAATATCAATATTAATATATTATAATATATCATCTATAAAAATATACCAAAGTACTAAAAATAGTTTTATTTAATTATAAAAACTTTATTACGATATATATTATTAAATTAAATTGCGTTTTTGCAAGTTTCATATATTATAGTTTATGTATTTTCTTTTTTTGATGTACATAATCCATACAAATTACAAATTATGTATTAAAAGCGTAAATGATGATATATTTTACAGAAAACGGTTTAAGATTGAAAAAACTCGGTTTTTAAAAGCCACCCACTGACGACATTGTTAAGGATTTAATAAAAAAAATAAATAAAGATTAAGCTGATAGTAGGTCACAGCACCAGTTTATTCTCGACCTCATGGAGAGATTTGTAGGAATAGGTTGAGACAAAACCTTTACGAGGATGTTTGAAAGGTCATTCAAATACTTATACAATAATAGCCAGTGGGTAGAAAATTCATGGCTTTTTCTGTAATCGCTTACATACAAATGTAAGCGATTACAGAAAAGTAAAGTTTGATCCGTGTCATATTATCTTTTAAAATGGTGCACTTTGTGATTATAGTTTTTTAAATACACATATTATGTCTAATTTTTAAAATTCAAAAGTTATAGTAACTACAAACTATAGTAATTTAAATAAGTTTGCTTTTTCACTAGTCTTTTTTTTAAAAAAAAATTGAAAATATTTAGCATGCCGGGCTTTCGAACACATAATAATTTTATCAATTATTTATAATATTTACTATTATGTATTTGGCCTCTCACATTATTTATAACCRCTTTTCGATAATAATACATAATTTGCACAGACTGTGAGAATATTACATGCTAGTATTAATATTATTATCT